CACACACACACAATTTTAATTTTACAGTCATCCTGATAATATATTTTTTTATTCCGTGACTTAATCAATTAAACAATAATTATAAGGATCAGCTAATCAGCGAATTTCTATGCAATTGAGCCTCCCAATCGCTCATCAAAATAGAAGCAAGAGGAGGATTTTAAAACCAATTCTAATAACTCAAGTCATTACATAATTGTCAAAAAAAAAGAAGAAAGAGAGAAAAAAAATCACAATCTTACCTAAAAATCATTTCGATAAAAATGATTGATTTTTTTTCCCCGACAATAGATCTATTTATTCCCACGACATAAATCACCTTAATAACAAATCAAACGATCAAACAATCCTCGACTTTCGCCCCAAACGGACACTCACAGTCACTCCGGGTGGTGGCCATGAGCGGCGAGGCGGCCATGGACACCTGGCCCTCCGCCCACGCCCGCACGGACACGATGTACTCCGTCCACCCGGCCAGCCCGCCCACCACGGCGCAGTAGCGGTAGATTTCCAGCGCGTCGCCAGCCCCCTTGGCCGCGCCCTGGGAAGTGGTGTTGGCAGCGCCCGGGACCACCAGCTGCGGGGGAGGAGACAGGGGGTTAGGTGGCTGGGGGGGGAGGTTGGGAGGGGGGTGAGGGGGTGTAGGGGTGAGGGGGGAGTAGGGGAGAGGGAGGAGTAGGGGAGAGTGGGGTTGAGGGGGGGTGTGGGGGTGAGGGGGGTGTGGGGGCTAGGGAGGGGGGAGAGGGGGGAGTGGGGAGTAGGGGGAGTGGGGGTGAGGGGGAGTGAAGGAGTAATGGGGGTGTGAGGGGTAAGGGCGACGAGGAAGATGGGGAGGGGAAGAGATGGAGCCGGGAGGGGTGAGGGGAATGGGGTGGGACGGGAGAAAGGGCCAAGAGGGAGAGGGGAGAAGGAGTAGGGGTTTAGGAAGGACATCAAACGACCAGAAAGAAAACAGAACGTGATGCCATACCCAAACCCACACACACAGATCACCATAACATAATAAAAATATCGCCAACTCATCTTCCTCACCGTCGAATGCAGCTCCTCGAGGGTGAGGTTGAGCGAACCCTTCTCGTAGGTCTTGTGGGCGGTCGTGGGCGTGTAGGTGAGGACGTACCCCTGCGGGCGGCCGTGGGCGGGGGGCGACCAGCACACCTCGAGGCTGGATTCCGTCGAATTGTTGACCGATACGTGTAAGGGTTCTGGTGGGGGGGGGGGGGAGAAGGGGAGAAAATCAGCTTATTTAAAAAAAAATTTTTGGTTCGGGTTTTGTTCTGTTTGGGTTTGTTTGTGCTATTTTTTGCTCTTGATTTGTTGAAAGAGTTTTGGATTGTATTTCATCTTATCTTTTTTATTTCTTTATTTATTGAATGATCTTTTTTATATTTCATTCTATCGTATTTAAAGATTTTGGGTTTTATCTTATTTATTTTAAGATTTTTATTTTATTTTGTGTTGTTTATTTTAAGATTTTGGATTTTATTTTATTTTATTTATTTTTAGAATTTCATTTCATTTCATTCATTTAATTTATTTTAACCCATTCACGCCGGGTAAAAATGAACAAAAAATGGGGGAAAATGCTGTGTTCATTTTTTATACTTTTTGTGAAATTTCTGTACACTAGATGGCTCTGCCTTACCTGATTTCATTTGGCGGGAAAATGTATATTTCACTAGTGCTATGAATATCGATGGTTCTTTTTATTATAAACATTATAATTACTATAATGTTATGAACATTAGTAACAGCAAAATAAGATAACGTAAAATATTTTCGTAAATTAAAGAAAAGGGTAAACAGACGACACAGGCCGTACATGTACAAGTGTAGCCATCTATGTGTAAAAACAATTAAACAAGTAAACTCACAGTGGGCCCGTCACGTATACGTGACACCCGGCGCGAATGGGTTAAGATTTTCGTTTTTCTTTCTTTCTATTTATTTTTATTTTATTTCATCTACTTATTCATTAAAAAATTCTGGATTTTATATTTTCTTACATATCTGATTTTATTAATTCCATTTCTCGTATATAATGTATATAAGTATATTTTCGAGTCTTAGGTAGGCTGTCGCGGGAATGAACTGCAGGCAGAAGTAGTGAATCGGGGCGTGGTAATCCCGTAGACTTTTTGATCTTTCAAAATTCTCTGACTTTTGCTGTTCATCAAACCATTGGCATTTTGTATTACGATTGATTTTAACATAGGCTAATATATATATATATATATATATATATATATATATATATATATATATATATATACATATATATATACATATATATATTTGTATATAAGTATATATACATGTATATATATATTTATATATATATATATATATATATATATATATATATATATATATATATATATATATATATATATATATATATATATACAGATAGATAGATAGATAGATAGATAGGTAGACAGATAGATAGATAGATAGATATATAGCACACTCACACGCACACACAAAAAAAAGAGAAAAA